AACTCTCTGACATCCCATTGGCCTTTAGGATTGTTGTAACCATAAATGGACTCACACTTGGTAGCTCTATTTCTGTTGTTGACGGTTCCTGGAAAACTTTTAGCATTGGTGCTGCAAGTTTTGAGAGTCTATCATTGAATGCGTCATCTTTTGTCTCAGCTGCATTTAGCATCAACTCCCCAAGAATTTTAACAGTTTTTCTTGCATTTTTAGCATGTTTATTTGGTGTGCACTCAGTATCATCATCGCCCATAGCTTTCTGATCATGTAAATGCCCTCCTTGAGATGCATAGCAGGCACAACAGACATATTGCATTTGCCTTGCACTTTCCGTTTTTTGAATGAGCAGCGGAAAAGCTTTAACCATAGGACATTTATATTGACCAATGCACGGGATTTGCGTTGTCTTTCCTGCAAACGACCAACAATGTACATCGCATCCATAAATACGACAGAATGTACGAAAATATTTCTTGCATAAAGTGCAGCGAAAGTGTCGAATGACACCTGTTTCATAGCTTTTCATTTGTTTAAGTCCCCTCGGATGCAAATTATTTTGATCATAATGGAAATGTGTGGTGCATACTCCTAATCGATCTGTTCGTTCTTTCATTTCATTGACAGTTTTCGTATCAACTTCCCATGTGCCTATGAGATTCCAGAGCCTTTTTTGGTTGCTAGTATTCTTTGCTCCGCAACGTTCTATGACGCCATTGCGATTTATCATGACAACGCACGGAGTTAGTTCTTCCGACGATTTTGTTGTTGGTGCAGGTATATCATCTTCCTCCTCATAATTGTGTTCATCAACTTCATCGTTTTCTTCATTGTCATCCTCTTCAGAACTATAATTTATATTCTCGTCCGACTCAAACAAATTATCATCATCCAAAATATCAATATTGGGTTCGTCATATTCCTCATCATCCGAAATATCAATATTGGGTTCGTCTAAATTTCCAAGTGTAAGTGTTTTATGCGACATATTAAAAAATTTGGTTTACTAATCGGGTTTATAAAATGTATTTGTTAGGCGCGATATTAACAGTTGTTAACAGTTGTGAGTGTCTCTGTGAGATAAATCAGTTTTGTTGAGTTTGTGGGTTGAAGCTCAATTTTCGTTCAATTTATAAGAAAACTTGTGTGCGTACACGCGGCCGTGGTTTATCATTTAACGTCAGTTTAGAGCCGCGTTTAGTATAGATGTAAAAATAGATCGCTGTGTCACCCGAGCAAACATTTCTTAATGATCGCAATTTACGCAATGATAATGAGTGACATTAATTAATCACAGGTTATTATTATAGGCTGTACAACGATTTTTAATATAGCTCAACTACAAAGTGCCCATTTCAATCAGGACTATTTTTCGTTCGTTTGATTAAGATTTTAGATTGATAACCGTAAAATATGATCTACTTAATTTAGTTATTGAGGAAATCCAGTTTAAATTAACATTTTTCATAATTTGATATTTAATTACTATTGAAAAAGGTGTCATCCGAATTTGAGAAAAGCTTAATATTATTTGGTTGATAATCTCATTTTAGGACTTGAGTTTAAGTTTGTCCAAGACAAATTACTGTTAGTTCATTTCAACCAATAACAATACACTATCGCTGTGCCACTTTCTATTTCATCTCAATTTATCGTTATCATTATCATAACAGTAGTAATATTAACATAGCCTTAATAAGTTTAAGTTGCCTCGGCCGATATTAAATAGACCTAACCTGCATAATCATTAATTATATTATATTGGAACGTTCATGTTACTGGGCGAACTCCGCACGATTAATGTTTTTAAAAATAGAACTTGTGCTCGCCGAACTATCTTACAACGTGACAGTCCCAAAATAAACTTAGCATTAACTCGCCCGGACAATAACTTCCCATAGTGATGCTGTTTCAGGAATAATGATGGTAAAATAATAATAACATTTTGTTTGCCCGAATATGTATAAACAATCAAATAGTGTACGACTGCTACACAAGCAATTTATTAATATTCTAACAGCCACATCTTAGAATGTCGATCTTGTACACGGTAGGAATAGCATATCACGATGTTTACGTCAACTCTTTTGTCTTTACTGATATAGCATATGAACAAAGAGCGACGTTGAACCTGCTATTTACATGCTATTTATAGGTTCTGAAGGTCTAGTCGTGAATGAAACGGCAGATCCAAAGTGACGCAGGTAAGCAATATGAATTCGTAGAATACTGTGAGTGATATGTGTGGGTTATAACTGATAATTTTTTGTGAAGATAGCATTTGCAAGTTGCTGATGTCATTGTCTATGCTAATCTATTATCAATCTTGCAGGTGTGAATTGAGGGATGTTTGCTATCACTGTTTACTACATTGCCAGTGGGAAATGAGTATCGCACTATTGATTGATGGAACAATTAAACAACACTCATATGAGGGGGGTTAATCCAAGAGATTTATTGTCAGGCTATGCTATTGTCTAAAAAGTAAATGGTTTCTATCTTGATATCTTCATTCTCACCTCGAGAATCTTATACCATGCACTCTCTACAGGACACGATGCGATCAGAGAGTAATGTCGTATGTTGATGTCTGCTTACCTGGTGATTATCGAAGAAGAATAAGACTTAATTTAGTATGCTGGGAATGATGCATGTGTTCACAGCCTTCACGTTGCTATTGCAGATGTATCATTTCGAGAATTTTCGGTTAGGAGAACGGATTAATTAACTGATGCTCGCACGTTCATATAGGAATTTAAACATCTCATTAATCAAATGAAGTCATATTTCCGGGTGCACATGTTAGCAATGGGAATCATTGTGATGCTATTATTGCTGTTCTTTACTAATATTGCGCTTCTCTAGGATTTGAACTGGCTATGGGTTTCATTTGTTCCCGTAATCATATCACAATCTGACGGCGAATCACTTTTGTGCATTCCCATGAACGCTGCTTGTCCACGAGTCATTGTTCTATGATTTGGGCTGCCCTCATGCATGTAACTCAACCCAATCGGCCAATGTTTGTTTAAATAAATGGAACAATATGATGCCATTGTTATGGAGTCGCTGCATGTGGTTATGTATTTATTTCTTTTCATCATGTGTACGATCTAACAGTGCGTACGTGCTATCCCATTATCACATTTGTGATGGATATCTAATTTGACAGCCATTAGCATCGCATCTGACTACCAAGCAAGAACCAGCGGACATAATTCGGAGTGGGAATCATTATATACTGATGAGATATCTATTACCATTACTATTGGGTTGGAGGTGGTTGTCTAAGTGGTTATCAGTTAATAATAATACTTCCATATTAATATGTATTATCGTTTCTTACTTTGATCTTTGAAAGATGCTTTATAAAAATATTAATAGTCATACGATTCGAAGATGTATTAGTATATAGTATGGGCATTTATATACTCACATGCCACTTCGATTCTGTTATTCTCTCACGCTAGCAACCATAAATCAGCAACCAAGAATCCTATGCTTATAAATTTTACATGCATATTAAGCGTAACTATTGCAAATGTGTGTGCAAAAGATTGACACGGAATATTAAGTACGATTTGAATTTGGATATACTAATACCGCTTGGCTTGAACACGCGAAATCAATTTTCGTCATTAAGACAATAACCAAGAATCCAATGCTCATGAAGCTTATATGTTTGGTAAGCGTAACTGTTACCAATGTGTGCGCAATGAATTGACCCGGAATATTATGTACTATTTGAATTTGGATATACCCCATTGGCCTGATCGATTTTTCGCGGGAGAGCAAATCGTTATATGCAAACTCAAAATCGTACTTAATATTCCGTGTCAATTTTTTGCATACACATCGACAACAGTTATTATTAACATGTATATAAGTTTTATAAGCATTGGATTTTTGGTTGTCGATTTAGTGATTTTCGTGTCGGAGATTGATTTCGCGAAAAATCAAGCAGATTGTTACATGCAAACTCAAAATCGTACTTACTATTCCATGTCAATTTTTTGCATACACATTGACAACAGTTATCATTAACATGCATATAAGTTTTATAAGCATTGGATTTTTGGTTGCCGATTTAGTGATTTTCGTGTCGGAGATTGATTTCGCGAAAAGTCAAGCAGATTGTTACATGCAAACTCAAAATCGTACTTAATATTCAGGGTCAATTTTTTGCGCACACATCAACAACGTTTATGTCTAATATAAATATAAATTTTATAAGCATAGGATTCTTGGTTGCCGATTTAATAATGCTAGTGACGAAGGTCGATTTCGCGTTTTCGAAGAAAAGCGGATCGTTATATGCAAACTCAAAATCGTACTTAATATTCTGTGTCAATTTTTTGCACACACATCAACAACGGTTATGTTTAACATACACGTAAATTTTATAAGCATAGGATTCTTGGTTGCTGATTTAGTAATGCTAGCGACGAATATTGATTTCGCAGGATCAATATCTAGTGATTGTTGAGTTACTAATGATAAATGATGGTAGAAACCCCGCTTTTTCTTTGAATCCTTTCTAATATTATTTGATAGTTCACTGTTTCTCCAATACTCTTTGCATTTTTAAGCAAATATGACAAAAATTGTTCTTAGTTTGTCCTCACATCCTCATCAATATATTCTATAAATATAAATTCGATCGAATCAATGATCATGTATTACACGCAAAATAATTAATATATCATACAAGTGCAATAATAATATTAATATTATTCCGTACCTTAAGAGTTATTATTATGTATTTACTGAGCGAATGGATACTTGTTAGCCGTTATTAACATTTAGTTGTTCATAACATTGCCCGAATCACGCCATGCGAAGGCCAAGTATCATGTAATTCACTCCTCTATATACCCTATTAGTAGTAGCAAGTCATATTTCAAAGCATATAAAGGAAA